CCCCTTCCACCACACCAGACTTACCAGCTGGAGGCAGCTCTTCACTCTGCCAGGCTGGGTATCAGAAATTAGATCGGTATCGGCTGATATGCCCCCTTAAAAATCAGGTTTTGGTATCGGCTGCAAAAATCTCTATTGGTGCACCCCTAGTCTCAATCAATCACAGCTTCTTCCCTTCCCCATTTTCACTGGACTCTGTGTCCTTGTCTTGATCTATACTTTTATAGTCTGCAGATTGTTCCTTTACCTAATATATTCCTTCTCCCTCTTTCCCACCTACCAGAGAAACTGGTTTCCTTCTTCACTCTGTGTAGATTCCCTAAGGAACCTGCACCCCCCCTTACCCCCGTACTATCAATAAATATTGATAGTACAGGGGAAAAAGTGGGGGGCAGGTTTCCTAGTCTTAACTTGTTCTGCCCTACCCTGAGGCAGGAAGAGTCCAGCTTAGTCTAGCAGACCTGGGCTAAAGGAGATATTCTCAGTTACTGCAGGGATAATGCAGTTTCAGAGATTCAAACATGCTTTTTGAAGATGGAATCTTAGGATATTTTAGGTGCTAAAAATCTAATTCTCTGTACTATTCAAATTTGGGGTTTTTTCCCCTTCAAATACTTGTATCTTCTTGGAAACAGCAAAAGTTCCCTTGCCCTGAAAGACCTCCCTGTTAATTTACAGATCTCTGCTGTGAAACAGGAGGATCCTAGAATTGTACAAATAAAAGTTTTCAATTTTTTTAACATGGGCAAAACATTTTTTCCTTAGCATAGTTTTTGGAAATGGCATCACTGGTTAAGCAAGGGAAATGTGTAATGGGAGCATATATCAGGGGAATATCAGGTATCAGTCCTACCTGGCTATTGTATATTATGTCTTCAGACTTACAAAGTCTTAAATCAGAGGCAAGTCTAGCTTTAAATCGGAGGCATGTCTATAAAGCTAGCTTTGGTTCAGTATTTCTGCATTGCATTAAGATGAGGTATTTTGCTATAGTTTATGGATTTCTATAAATAAAAATCTGTAGCATACTTTTGTTTGCTGGAGGTTCTGGTTGCCAACAGGCCTGTAATTTTTTTGGATATTATTTCTGTTTTTCAAAAAGGATATCTGAATCAGATCGGTGAGATGACTTGTTTAGGCAAAATAATGGTTAAAACTGGTTTTAGAATTTTGCATTGTTTCTTAATCTCATGCTTAAACCACTGAACTATGACTGCCTGAATTAAAATTAGTACAAATGCAAATCAGCATTCTACTCACAAGTTATTCTTTGTCTGTATAATTATATAAATGTATTCAATACAGAGCAAGTTGTTTCGCAGCTAAACATTGTTTTGTTTTAACAAGCTGCTGAGAAATAGTGTAGTAAGGATCACATTTGGTGAAGGGTAAACATTAAATAGCTGTAATCAGATTAAAGATTCTTTTTTTGGGGGGGAGGCACTTTTTCCAGAGGTCTCACCCAAGTATACAACATGAACCTAATTCATAATATGCATGACTGTTTACACATGATCTGAATTTTTATTCCATTTTTATTGCTGATCTGTTAGATCTGTGCCAACCAGCTTGGTGTCAGTGCATGATCAGTGATGGACAACCGCTGAGCTGGCAAACTGCTCTTCCATGGTCTTTGTTTAGTGTTAATGTGCGACTGTCTTAAACTGTACTCAGTTTGTAGCATCATAGACGGGCTTCTAAGATGTTCTAAAGCATTATAAAGTCTGTAATTCTGTAATACACATGTACTTATTCATGAGTTGTAACAAAATTCTAAGATAGTAATATATACCTTCAGTTTATGTGCAGGCATAGTTATGCAGTACTCTGCCTGTTGCTAGGAAACTAAGCTTCTGCCAAATTTGGCATCTGTTGTGAGCATAGTTAATCAGCTTATTGTTTCCAATATGTGGAGAAACTAAATGAATTGAGCATCTCACTGCTGGATGACTGAATGGACTTTCATGCTTAAAAGAAAGTGAAAACATTTATTTTGCGTTAAGAGTGTGCAATGAATTTCTCCTGTGTTCGTCCTTTTTAATGGCAAGATATTTTTAGCCGTTATCTACTGTTTTAATCTGAGTTTGGTTTAGGTTTTAGTTCTTGGTTATATTCTAGTTCAAGTGCATAAATTAAATGAATTGTCTTTTCCTTGTTAAAAATTTAGGGGGAAAGCCTTGTTTATTCCTCCTGTGTGAAAATCATTAACTTGCCATTATTGCTATTTGTGGCTTGGCTGCCATCACAAAATTGCGAACTAAATATTCACCACCTCTAATGTGCCACCTCTAAGTGTTCAGTGAGTAAAGCATTTACTTAGTCTTCATGAGTGTTCTCTTTGAATCTATGCTTTAGAACTATGCTTTATTACTACTGTGTTTTAGGGGTATGTTTGAGAGGGTATGTATCTTAGCTCTGGTTTAAATACAGTGTTAAACCAGTTGCATTTTTGCAGTGATATATGGAAACTCTTTATGTTGGCTTCAGCCTGGCTTAGACTGGATGCAGTCTCGTGGAAAGTAAACTAAACTTAAATTTTAGTATTTTGAAGAC